CACAGAGTGCTACATTGTATGGAGGGACCACATTTTGTGTGTTTGTCCCTCTGGGTAGACACTACACAGAGTGCTACATTGTATGGAGGGACCACGTCTTGTGTGTTCGTCCCTCTGGGTAGACACTACACAGAGTGCTGCGCTGTGTGGAGGGACCATGTCTTGTGTATTTGTCCCTCTGTGGGTGGACACTTGGGCTGTCATGGGCTTTGTGTTGAGCCCAGAGCCCAGGTAGCATGGAGTAGGAGATAGGAGAGAGAGAGGCAGGAAGGGCCTGTGGTTTCCATCACAGTGGGATGTGAGCAGGTGTGTGTGTGTGGAGGACCCCACAGCACACAGGGAGCACTGTGCTATGGTGGCCCGTCTGTACGCTGGTCATACACCAGGGTCCCCCTTTTGTGATCAGACTTTGCAGTTTCTGGGTGCTAGCGAGTCCATTCCGCCCCATCGCCATCCCGTATGACAATAGAATTGCCCCAGAGTTTCCTAGGCTGTCACCTTCAAGGAACTAGTTGGCCAGGTCATTCTCCAGCAGAGCCACTTTGAACCGCCGACCTTTCTGTTAACCTGCTGAGCGCTTACCTGCTGCACCGCCAGAGCTTGTGAGAAATGAGTAGTGGCTCCTGCTCACAGGGTGGGCATTCGGCATGGGTCCTGTGTGTAAGTCTCCATCACAACGCAGTCTGTGCTCAGCTACCTCCGTTACCACACCAGGACCCACAGCAGCATGCGTCCGTCCCCTGCCATCTCTCTACGGCCAGCTGCTGCCCGTGTCTGTGGACACTGCTGCCTGCCACATGATGGAGGTGGGAGATGTCACTGGTACCCTGAGGGACGAGGTCTGGGGTGCTGCTCACACTCCCCCAATGCACATGGTTCAGTGAATGGCCTGGTCCTCAGCATGCACACAGCCCAGGTTGGGAAACTGCCCCAGCTGTGGGGAGCCTGGTGGTGAGAGGTTATAGCATCGGACTGCTAACACAAAGGTGGACAGTTCAAGGCCACCAGCCACTCCACACAAGAAAGATGAGGCAGTAAAGACGACAGCCTTGGAAACCATTCTTCCGTGTGCAGATCACCTCAATGGCATGGATTTGGATTTGGGGGAGCTCTAGATCTGCCGGGAGTCTTGGTGTGGTGCTGTAGGATAAAACTGGACTGCTCACCTCAAGGGTGGTGGTTCACACCTGCCAGTTACTCCACAGACACCCTGTCCAGGCCAACAGCACACCTGGGGGCGGGAGTGGGAGCTGGGTAAGTTGGTGAGTCCACCATCTCTGCTCCCCTTCCATCTGCGGTTTGTCTGTGCGTGGTGCACACTGCCATGTAAGCATCCTGCAATCTGCTCAGACATCCTACCCCAGGTGGCTGTGTGGGGTTTCCCCCCCAGGGCACCCCGATCCCACACGCTGCCCTCTGCCTACAGTGTCACGAAGCCGCGGTCTCCATCTACTACAGCCTGCGTGACCAGCGTCTCTCCCACTGGGCCCTGCTCTCCACGCTGTCCCTGCTGGCCTGCTGTCTCATCTACTCACTGACCGGTGAGGCCCTGCTCGTGCACTTGGCGTAGCGTTGGGCTGCTAACCACGAGGTTGGCGGTTCAAACCCACCTGGAGCACTAACAGCCTTTCAAACCTTGTGGGTAGTCTCTACTCCATCCCGGAGGGTCACTGTGAGTCAGGATCAAGGTGACGGCTTTGGGGTTTTAGGCTGAGCTGCAGGAGAAATGGCAGTGCTGATAAGCGCTGTTCCGGAGCATTCTATGTGCTGGGCAGCAAGCATGCTAAGCATGTCAAGTGTTTCACTAACTCTGCCCCTCATACCCTCCAGAAAGCTCCCTGCTTCACAGATGCAGAAATGGAGGCTCTGAGGGCTCCCCAAGATTGTGGGAGGCAGAGCTGAGCCTCATCCTTGGGGACGGCAGAAGTCATGGTCACGGTGGGGGTCCTCTGGGCAGTTCACCACCACCCCCACACACACACACAGAGACAGGGGTCCTGGGAACTCTCAAGAGGGGTGAGATGTGTGCAGAGAGCTACAGGGCCATGCCCAAGGCCACACAGCACTGCCCCAGCCTAGCAGCCCTTTCTGTCGTCCGCTGTGGGACTCCGGATGCCTTTGGGGTGGCAGCTTTGGATGTCCATGGCTCCCCAAGGACTGCTGGGTGTCCTGTTCCCTGGCTGGGCAGCCCCTCTTGAGTGGAGGCCCATGATTCAGATGGCCCCTGTTTAGCAGGATAACAGGATCCCAGGGGAAGGGGCTGCAGCTGAGACAAGTGATAGCCCTTGCCCGGAGGGAGTGCATCTCAGGATGGCTAGGGGGTGGGGAGAGAGACGTTCCAGTCCTGGCCCCACCAACACCAGCTGTGGGATTCTGGGTACTTGTTGGCAGCCTGCTCTTAATTTTCCTCATCTGGAAAATGGGTGCAGTCGTTAAGCTGTTGCAAGAGCAATGGCTGAGGCAGAGGAGAGATGTTAATAGTTCTCAAGTGGTGCGTGCTGTCAGTGAGTACTCACCCCACGGACAGTGCGTGTGAGGAGGGGGTCAGCCCTGTTCTGCCCAGCAGCACCTTTGAGTCAGCGTTGAGGCTCAGCACAGGAATGACCAGCCTGGGGGATGGGAGGTGGGGGGTGTCTTTCTCTGACCGGCGCTCCCCGGATCCCACCCCATTCCCAGGGGCTTACGGCTTCCTGACCTTCGGGGCTGACATCTCTGCAGACATCTTGATGTCCTACCCAGGCAGTGACATGGTGGTCATCGTCGCCCGAGTCCTCTTCGCTGTCTCTATCGTGACCGTCTACCCCATCGTCCTCTTCCTGGGCAGGTGAGGCTCAGCTGAAGGGATGATGACATGCCAGGGCCCTGGGGGCCACACGCCTCATGTCTGTCGCCTGCCTTCCTTGGTGCTCCTCGTTTGTGGCGCCATCTCTTCACTCTCTGCCTCTGTTGTCACGTGGTCCTCTTCTCCGAGCGTGGTGCTGACGTTCAGGCTGCAACCGACTGTGGTGTCCTGGTCTGTCTCAGAAACTGTGTCTAGAGTTACCATGGGTCAGGGCCCACTGGATGGCAGTGGCTTTGGTGTATGGATTGCTCTGAGGTGTGAAATAATAGTGTGATGAGAAGTTTGAGGGTGAGCAACTGGGCACACAGGCATGAAGTGAGCACAGGTGGCTGGGAAAATGGTGCCCATAGACTTGCTTGATATGACTGAACCCTAAACCCACTGGCTTTGAGTCAGTGCCAACTCAGGGTTTCTGAGATTGTAAATCTTTACGGGAGCAGACAGCTTCATCTCTCTCCTGTGGAGCAGTTGGTGGGTTTAAACCCCTGACCTTGCATTTAGCAGCGCAGCACTGAACCCAAAGCGCTGCTAGGGCTTGACACAGAGCTGCCATAAACCGTCAGTTTGTAAAACACGCAGAATCTGTGAAAGAACGGTGAAGCAGAACTGAATAAAGTGAACTCTGCGCTGTTTGGCAGATAATCACAAATGTGGCTTAATGTCTGCCACACAGAAGACAACACACTCTACGGGAAGACAGAGAAACAGGTTAGAGTTGCAGGACAATGGCCACATACCTGCTTGGAAAACCAGAAAGTAGCACGGAGCTTCCCAGCAGCCACAGTGAAGAGGGAAACCTATCAGTCATGTGACCCACCAGGTCCCCACAGTAGAAGCAAGCTCAGGACTCGGTAGACAGGATGATTGAGAAGACCCTCCTCCCCACACGCAGCAGCACGGCCTGTCTGTCGGTCTTGCTGTCTCTCTTGTAGGCTCCTGCTCTCTTTGCTGCTATCACCTTGTCTTTCTGCCCTGGAACCTCACAGTGCCAGCTACCCCTTGTGACTACAGGCTGGGCCCTGAGCCAGCACGTGGTGTAGGCACCCCTGTAGTCTCACCCTCTTGCTGTTCTCCTGGGGCATGAGGAAGGGGGCCGGTTACTTGGCAGCTGGTCAGCAGTCACATGGCCCCCAGGTCAGTGGTGCAGGACTGTTGGAGGAGTTGCGGGGCTCCAACTGACCCCGCCAGGCCCGGGCTGCGGGTACCACTGACAGCTGCGTGGGTTGCCCTGACGCTCACCATGGCCCTGCTCCTGCCCAACCTCAGCGAGGTCATTGGCATCATCGGCGGCGTCAGTACTTTCTTCATCTTCATCTTCCCAGGTGAGACACCCTACCCAGCTCCCTGGCCCCCACTGCTGGCTCGTGCACCCAAGGCCATGGCTAGAGTGGGGACCCCCTTGATCTGGACAGCGCCCAGCCTGTTTATGAAGCATCATAGGACGGGTGTGCCACAACCTCCCCATTTAAACAGCTCGGCCTCTGGGACTGCTGCGTACCCATCCTCCAGGGGAGAAAACTGAGGCCCTAGACTCCTGGCTTGCACAGCTAGAAAGCAGCTGAGTTCAGAGTCAGACCCACTGCTCTGTCCACCCCAGCTGCCTCCCCTCACAAGAGAATTAATTATCTGACTAGGTGGACCTCATGAGGAGGTTCGGTCCTCTGTGACCTGCAAACACCATCCTTTAGCTCCCAGCCAGGTGCTCTCCTAGTCCCTCTGCTCTGGGGGCGGGGGTACCCTCAGCATCTGTGCCTGGCCCCCTCCTCCAGGCCCCTGCTGGGTCTCATGGTGATGGAGCTCTGGACACTCAGGGGGTCCATTGTCCTTTCGCAGGTCTGTGCCTCATATGTGCCCTGGACATCGAGCCCCTGGGGCCCAGACTCAGGTAAGTGTCTCCAGGAGCGAGGCGGGAGGAGACTCTTAGAGACCCTCTTCGTAACCCCAACACCCCCCCACCCCCACGGACGTGAAGTCTTGGGGCACACGGGGGGGGAGGGGCCTTGTGGGGCGGCACAGGAACTGGGTGTCTGTGAGATCTGTCAGCCATGCGCAAGGACTGTGGTAGGGGCTCTGTGTGGTGTGGCATCTTCTTGATGTGGGCATCTGTGTCCCTCTGGCCGCTTGAGCTCAGGCCCAGGACAGGATCAGGCAGCTGGCTCTGGGACTCCACAGAACCCCACTGGGCCCTGGAATGAGGGGCTGTCAGCAGAGGTGCAAGCCTTGTGGGGTGCCGCCTCCATACCAGGTTGACTGCTCAGACCTTTCCCACACTCCTCTCCCTGCGATGTAAATAAGGGGATAGTCGGGTGTTAAGAGACCCGCCCTGCAGACAGACCCGAGCTGCCCCCATCTGCCGTCCCTGCGCCTCGGGTTCAGTTCATGTGGTGTCCACGCCTCCCATGGCCGGCCTGTGAGACCGACATCACCGGGACCCTGCCCCACTGAAGGAGAGACTGTGCTCCAAGCCACATGCCAGCGTCACGGCCATCAATCCCAGGGATCCCACAGGTGCTTCACAGCCCTTACTCCCACTTCACAGGAGTGAAAACCCGAGATCAAGAGAAGGAAACATGCTGTGTGAGCACAGTCCTGGGTACCAAGAGTTGAAATCAGGGTGTCAGCAGGGCTGCACTCTCCTGAAGCTCTGGGGAGGACCCTTCCTGGTCTCCCAGCGTCTTGTGGTCACCAGTAGCCCTTAATTTGTGGCTGCATCACCCTAGTTTCAACCTTTGCGGTCACATGGCCTTTGCCCTGCAACTCTGCTTACAAGGATGCCACTGACTGCTTTTAGGACGCACCCTAATCGAGCATGGCCGCCTGTTAACTCGGGTGTGGTTCCGGCTCACTGTGATAAAGCTAGGTTTCCCACTGCACACAGACTGCGTTCTGTGTTCTGTGCAACAAACTGCATGAGGAGATGGTTAGAAACGTGAGACTCAGAGATATGGTGTGGGCATGTGCTCATGGGAAATGGCCCTGATGGACTTGCTTAGAGCAGGGTTGCCACAAACAAGGTTCCGTTTGTCAGAAACGCACAGCAGAGCAAGGTCTGTGTGTATGAACTTCTTTCCAAACAATGCCACATCACAGCGCCACTCCTTTTTGGAGGCCACCTTCTCAGCAGTGGCACAGTTGGCCAGGGGTTTGGGTCCCAGGCTGGCACCTCCGCCTCCCTGTTCTTTTCTACCACGGGAACCCCAGCTTGGCTTCCCCAGAGCCTAGCATGCTCCCCTTCTGGGCAGGGAGGTGTTTTCTGTCTTAGAACTGGCGCCCTGGTCATATGGTGACCCTGTAGCTAGCAGCTTCCCTCCCTGCAGCGGTCTCTGAAACACGGAGTCTGTTTTGACCCCGGCTTCTCCCAATGGGCTTGTGCGTTCTGTCTGATGCAGTAGAGTGGCGCGCCAGCCACGTTCACTCTGGGCGAATGGACCTTCCCTGCTCCCAGCTGCTACCCAGCCCCAGATGCTCCGTCCTTGACAACAGAGCCTTAAGGCCTTCTTAATGGGGCCAGAAATATCTGCTGGCCCTGCCATTTTGTAGGAATCTTATTATCGCGTACTCCTCCTTGTCTTCCGTCTCCTCTGGTTACATTAAGAGGCTGCAAATGTGGCTCCTGGCGCGCCCCGGAGCCAGAGGCCTGATCCAGCCCCACCACTTGTGTTAAGAGTTCTCTCTCTCACTTCACCAGGAGCGTATAGCATGGGACTAGCACCTGTCCTCCTCTTGCCTGTGTCCCGAGCGGGACCTTGAACAGATGAGAACTGTCCCCACAGGGAACGGACACACTGAGTGTGTGTCAGCGTGTCTGAGCAGAGACCCAGGAGGGTCCACGCTGACACTGGTCTGTACCCCCACAGGTGTTGTCTGGAGCTGTGGGGTGTGGTCTCCGTGCTGGTGGGCACCTTCATCTTCGGCCAGAGCACAGTGGCGGCTATCCAGGAGCTGTTCTGAACACAAGGGTCCCTCCCTCACCACGGCCCACACATCACTGTTTACAGTATAAACGGGGACGGATGGATGGACAGACGCCTCTTTCACTGGCTCCTTGGGGCTTCTGTTTAGTACTGGGGAGGGGTTGGGGCCCAGGGACCCTGACCTGCAGGGATTGAGGGGTACAGATCCCAGAGAGGGCTGTGCATGATGAGAACAGATGGAGGGGAGGGCCCAGCCACGTCCTCGATGCACGTACACCACCACTGCTGGGGGACCGTATGGACACCGATGACTCAGGCCACTTTCTCTATCCCAAGATGTTATCCCTGAAGCTGGCTGGATCCAGCATGGGCGAGGAGGGGCTGGCATTCGAGACCACCTGAAGTGGCGTGAGGTCTCTGATTGCTCCACCTGCCTATCTGTGTGCTGGTCTCTTCTCAGAACCTTCTAGAGAACTCTTAACAGTAGCAGTGAGCCCTCACCCCAGGCAGCCATGAACCATCTCTATCTCCCAGGGTTTCTGGACACCTCACATAAATGGAACCGTACCATGTGTGACCTTCAGCAACTGGCTTCTCTCATTGGACATGCTGTTCTCTTAATACGTCCATTATACAGGTGGGGCAACTGAGGCTTGGCAAGTTGAAGAGCCTGTGAGGTACAGAGCAGTAGACGCTAATGGGGGGCAGGGGAGGAAGGACACAGGGCCGTTCTGAAGCTTCTCTCTGACTGGCCACCCCCTGTTTTAGTGGTCACAGCTTTCCAGGGCAAGGCCTTAGGGACATGGATGTGTACTGGGCAGAATTGTCCTAATGGGTCATTAACCTCCCTGGAACAGGAAGCAAGAATGGATAAGTCACTTATTATTTATACCCTGTTTGCATGCTAACAGCCTAGGTGGAAGCTGGCCAGCAAGGCCAGGCTGTGGTGGACCCTCCCCACGAGGGTCCTTGGAGAAAGTGTGTCGGGTCAGGGCTCTACCACAAAGTACGATGGAGCCAGACTCTTGGTTTTGAGCCCCAGTTCTGCCATTTGGTCTCTCAGCACCTGGGTCTAATGTATGACCCTCAGGTACAAATTTTCATCTCCTCCAGCAGAATGGGAATGCTGAGTACCATGCAGGATCAGTTTAGAGCTTAACGGTGATAGCCCACCCAGGACAGCAGGTGGAGCATCTCACACACAGCAGACTCTCGGGCAATGGCATCTTTAGTTCCAAAAAACCGAGGTCGAGATTGCCAAGTGAAGACTGAGCTTCCTAGCAGCCAAGGAGAAAAGAGAAAACAGAGGAACCGAGAGCCAAGAAAGCATAGCAGGAGGAAAGTGGTCTGGCACAAAACGTTAAGGAGAGCTGGGCCAGGGATCTGGGGACATGACGTGTCTCCATCTGTGACAGTTACAAAGATCTCCTCGTGACTGAGCTCGCCCCGTTGAAGCTGAGGCCACAGCACAAAGACATAGGTAGGACAAGTATGGGTCACCCTCTCTGAGTTACACGTGGTCCTTCACGACTGGCACCTTTCACACCTGCTCTTCATGGTACTGTATTCACACCACATCGGTTTATGCCTCGGTTGGTGGACTTTGGGGTGGTTTGTATTGGTAGACTGCTGTGAACGTTCACATCTATGTGTTGGTTGAAGCACCTGTTTCCCTTTATTTGGCTATAGGATGTACCGCGGAGTGGAATTTTGACACCCTGTGGTAACCTGGTGGCACTGTGGGATAAGCATTGGGCTGCTAACCAAAAACTGCTTATCAGCAGTTCAAATTCACCCACTGCTCCATGTGACAAAGATGCTTCCATAAAGATTTACAGCTTCAGAACCCCTAACCAGGGTAGCTATGAATCGGAATTGACTCCATGGCCTTGGGTTTGGTTTGGTATTTGGTTTACGTTGATCTTGTGTTTAACTTTTATTACCTGCCTGTGTTTGGATGTAGTGTGGTCTGGTGTGTAGAATTCAGGTTGTGGAGCAAGGAGCACTGGGTTTGGATCCAAACTCTGCCACACATTTGCTGTGTGACCTCTGGGAAGTTGCCTGCCCTCCCTGGTCTCTATGTTCAGATCTGCTGTCTAGGACAGTGTGCAGCTGGGGTTGGTGGCTGCACAGTGCTTGATTTCATGTGTGATTCTAGAGCGTAAATTAAGGGGGCGCAGTTGCACCTTTCAGGGTTGAGACTTGATCTGTTCAGAGCCTGTCCTCACCCACTCGTTGTGAGGAGGTTTGAAGACTCTCAGTGCCTGTGGGCTGGCAGCAGCCCAGATGCTGCAGCTGGGGCAGTGGGGCTGACGGACAGACGGAGCATAGCACACCCAGCTGCGAGGGTTCCCCCTGTCTCCCCCGGAAAGTCTCAGCCCTTGAGGAGATTGTTTTTAAATAGCTGAGCTGGTCGGAAAAGTACCAGTGTCTGTAGGAGCAGGGGCGGCATGTGTGCTTAGTGACGGTGCCAGCAGGGGGCGTGAGCGGCATCTGTTTTACATGTGACAGAACCCTGTAAGGACCTTCCGCCCAGGCATGCAGAGGGGGGTCTTCCCTGAGCCCAGGTTGTGTTCCGCTGGTTTTGTTCCAGTGTGAGCAGCACCCAGACCTGCCGGGGCAGCAGGGCCTTCGCAGGGGAGGAGGACATTGCTAACGGCTGGAAACTGGACCAGTGGAGTAGGGAGGCTGTACCACCGTCCTCTGTCCACTCTCCAGGGACCCACCTGTCTCGTCTCTGTGCTGCCTCAGGAGAGGGCTACCTCTCTCCCGGTCCTCGTTGGCCTTGGGACTCTTGTGTCTGAAGGTGTGTCCTGTAAGCAGGACCGGGGTGTGGAAGGGGAGTCTTGGAGCGTCTCCAGCAGACTTAGAACACTGACCTGGGGCTGGGGTGAACAAATCGATTAGAGGAACCCCCTCCTCAAAGCTGTTGTCACCTCCACCCCAACCCCCTTTTTTTTTTTTTTTTTTTTAAAAAAAAAAAATTACCCTTTTTTTTTTTTTTTTATTGTGGTGAAATGTACATGAAACTTTACTACTTTCCATTCAATGTCACTCGATGCATTCACAATGCTGTATGGGTAACTGTTCTCCTGTCTCCCCAGTGCCTCGACTTCCGGTCTCTGTGCATCTGCTTCTTGTAGACTCTCACATGGTGTGATCTGACTCGGCTTTGTGTCCTCATCCAGGCTGTAGTGTCTATCAGAACTTGATGTCTCCTGTCTGTGTTGCATGGACCACATTTCTTCTGCCCATTATCTGCTGGTGGGCATTCAGGGCCTGTCCACCTTTTGGCTGCACTGAACGTTGGTGAACACGTCTTGAATCTCTGCTTTCAGATCTTACTGGTGTGTGAGGGAGCTTCGAAAAGTTTGGGGAGAAATCCCATTATGTTTTATTTCCGTTTTCCCACTAACTTTTGGAAGTCCCACGCATGCCTAGGAGTGGCATTACCGGGTCACATGGTTATTCTGCTTTGAGGAAGTGCCAAACTGTTCTCCTCAGCAGTTGTAGCACTTTATCAGCCTGCCATCAGTGGCTACGGCTCTGTTTCTCTGCAGGCTTCCGTTCAGTAACTCATATACGCTCGGTCTTGTCACTGATTGCAGCCCTGAACGTCCCATCACTGATCCTTCGTAGCCTCCCTGTTTCCCATTCCGTTCCTCCTCCTCTCCTAGGCCTTCAGAACTTTGTCCTTGGGTAAAGGATGCCCTGCTGATGATCTATTCTAAGATAAACTTATCTCCCTAGTGGTGGTGGTCCCCTTATAGACTTGTGTCTTGTTTGGCTGAAGGATGACTCGGGGCCATGGTCTCAGGGTTCCACACTGTCTGTCTGACCAGGAGCCTGGTGTTTTGTGCCACATTTTCTCCCACTCTATCTAGAAACTGCTAAGTGACCCCTTTCAGAGCTCATGGAAGTGGTCGCCAGGTACCATCTAGTTCCTCTGGTCTCAGGACCTTGATTCACAGTGCAGCCATCGAGTGGCTGTGGTGTGGAGTGTCACGGATGACTCTCTCGTGACTGTCACGGTTTTGAGGTGCCTGTCCCTAGTGAGGAGTACGCTGAGCATCTCCCAGTTCACAGAGTAACAAACTGAGGCTCGGAGAGCTCACTTGGTCCTGTTTTCAGGCTAAGAAGGGGTCCCTAGCATCCTCACAGGTTCCATCCACTAAACGGCCTGGCAGCGACCAGAGAACTGGACACAGACACAGTACACGGACGTTCCCAACCGGAGTTTATTTGGTGCCTGCGTTGCGTTGGCCACATGAGCGTGGGCTCAGGCCCAGGGCCTAGCCAGACCTGGGTTGGGCACTACAGGGTCTTGGCTCCTACAGGTCATTACAGCAGGGAGTGGGGGGAAGGGGCAGGGCGGGTCTTGTTGAGCCCTTGGCTGCCGGAGCTCCAGGGGCACAGGGGTGGGATCATGCATGTGCTGGTGGGTGGGTGGGGGCGACAGGGTGATCAGGAGGCGAGGATGTGGGTGGACAGAAGTAGGGGCCTTTGCTTCCAAAGGTGGGGAAATACATTCTTAATTAGAAGTGTGTGGGCGTGCTCCTCAGGGCTCAGTCTCGTGCCCCTGTGCACCAAGCAGCTAGAGAGAGACACGAGGGGAGGGGATCCAGGTTAGAGGAAGTGACACTCCCCCATCCCATGGGGGAGACAGTAGGGGGCTGCCCGAAAGAGTAGGGGGCCTCAGAGAGGAAGTAAGCTAAGAGATGGGCCTGCGGCCTCTACAATGGAGGAGAAATCCCTCTGGCTAGGAACAGTAGCACTAGGGTCTTGGGCTCCCGTGGGCATGGCGTCTGGACTCTAGCTAATCCACTCTAGCCCCAAACCTGCTGTGGCCACGTTCCCCCCCCATCCTGGCTCTTGCCTGACCATGGCCCAGGCCCTGCACTGGGAGTGCCCTTTCCCCTCACTGAACATCGGTCGGTGCCCCCTAGGCCTCCTCACTCCCTCAGGCCTGCTTCCTCTAGGCTTTGGAATCAGAGACCTTTGTGCCCTCCCTCCTCACCTGGCACAGACACCCTAGTCAGGGCTTCAGGCTGGCTCAGTGTGTCCACCTTGGTGTGCCGGAAGGCCTTGCATACTGGGCTTTGCAGATGCCTGTAACCAGGGGCCAGGTCAGCTCTGAGGCACCAGCCCGGACAAGGAGCCCAGCCCTCCGAGGACAAGGGCCTGACTGGGTTCCCAGAGGAGCATGGGGCAGGTCTAGGGTACAGCTCATGGGGCTCCCCTGCTCACACCCTCCTGTGCAAATGAACACGCCAAGGCCTGGGGGCTCCATCCCTGTCCCCAGAGCCAGTGCGGTGGGCCTGGGCTCAGCACTGGAACAAGGGACCCGCGGCACCCACCTCTTCCAGTCCTCCTCAGTTTCCCAAAACTCGTAGACAACAAAGGTGAAACCGTCTGACAGTCTCATAGCAGCAATGCTGCAGGGGGAGGAGAGACGCTGGTGAGGACGCAGAGCCCAGACCAGGAGGCCTACATGTGCTTACTCTGCTGGGAATGCTCTCCTGACCAGATGACCCACAGACACATCGGGGTGGCACTGTCATGGACAGCAGACCTGCTGGTGACTCAAAAGGGCTGTCACTGAGAGGGACTCTGCCTTGAACAGAACAAGCCCGTGGTGTCGGGATCACCTCCTAGAAGTCGGGGCCCAAAGATGGTCCCACTCTGACCCTGTTTTGGCGGCCAGTTCCTCCTCACACACGCAGCATCCCTCCAGGAGAATCATCAAGAGGGGGCGATGCCTCACTGCCGGCTACTGTAGGTTTCCCACCCAGGAGAAGAGGCTGACTAGCACTGGTTCACTCTGCTGCGGCTAAAACCACCTCAAGAGCTGTGGGCCTTCCGTGAGATGTCACCAGATGGGGAGGCATGGGTGCTGGCAGGCAAGAGTATCCAGAGACGTGGGTGCTGCCACACTGAGCACATGCAGGCACACAAGGATAGGCCGTGGAAGTCCTACTGCGCACCAGTGTGCTGCACACAAGGTACTGCCCCCGTAGGGCCACACTATGTACAACCCTGGGGACCAAAGTGACTGAACGGCTTCCACCGCCTCCTCACTATCCCCCCAGGTGCACACCCCCAGCCCCACGTCTCAGATCATCTGAACCTCCCTCCATCCCCCCTCCCTGTAGGAGATGCCGGATGGCTCTGATCCAGGCCCCAAATCCCCCATGCCCCTCACATGCTGCCCTTCCTGCAAGGTAAGCACTAGTTTACTTGTGCATACTTAAGATGTGGTGAAACTAGGATAGTAAACACAAGTATGCCCATGCTTGTCTGGTGGACTGAGGACTCTACCCCTGTGGGCCGCCCCCTGGCCTGAACGTTCTTCCCTCAGAGGCTACAGACTTTGGTGCCCACGTCCCTCCCAAAGTCGCCTTCTCAACAAGGATCCTGTCCTCGAGTTTCCATCATCACCTGACCCCCTCCCCAAACAGGAGCACTCAGCCAGGACAAGCTGGTGTGGGCCCAGGGGAGGGCCGGCACAGTTGGAGCTCTGACTCCGGCTCCTGGCAGCAGAGAAGTCTGGGCACCATCAGCTCTGAGGGCTGGGAATGGTCTTTCTCAGATCCCTCAGATGGGGCCGCGCATCAACGCCAGCCTGGGTCCTAGGGCAGGAAACTGGGGGCAAGGCCCCCGAGAGGCAGTCCATCCATGGAGTAGAGACAGCATTGGGGCTGTTGGTTCAGCGTACCCCAACCTGCTGAGGGGGGTTGATGAACAGGATCGGTGGCTGCTACTAATCATTCAGCCTTTACCTGGGTGTTTCACCAACTCCTTTCCTCCCTCCATCTATTAGATGTGTATGACAACAACCTTAAGGTGAGCAGCTGGTAAGCAGAGTCTTCACACTCCACTCCCCGCACTTTGCTTTGTCATGCCCCAGAGTGCGGCCCAGATGGGCAGGAAGTCCACAGGGCCTGGATTGGAACCCCACTCTCTTTACCACCCACAAGACTGTTTCTGAAGTTTGGATTGTTCCCGGGGGTGCCCCCTCCATCCACCACTCACTGCGAACAGTCCCTCTCGCCGGCGGTGGCCCGTAGGTACTGCCGTAAGGACTCCAGGAACTCGCTCAGCTGGGCTGGACACACAGCCATCTCCTGCCGGACCAGCTGCAGGTGCTGTGGGCAGAAGGAGGCATGAGCCTGCCAGACCCACCCCCGGCCTCAGGCCCAGCCCTCCCTGCATGGGGACAGGAGACCATGGGCAGAAACAAACCCGAACCCTTCTCCTGATGGACACATTTCATTTCTGCACGTATAAGATCCAAATCAGCAGTTCTGAAAACGCTGCAAACATGCACACAGATGTCTTTCGGGGGGGGGGGGGGGGTGTCCGTGTCTCTCAGACCCACCACAACCCCATTCTGACCCCAGAGACAGCGCTGGGAGGGGCCTCACCGTGTTGGTACCCTCATCATCAGACAAACGCTGCTGCAGGTCAAAGGAGAGGGTCTGAAAGAGAAGGAGAGGAGAGCTGTGGCCCGGGACAGAGGTGAGGGTCCCCACCACACCTGAACCCCATACCACGGGTCTGACCATGTTAATGGCATAATAAGCAGCCTGGTGACTCAACAGTTAAATGCTTGCTCCCCATGTTAACCGAAAGTTGGGTACTTTCATCGGAGTAAGGACTAGGCAATCCGCTCCTATAAAGAGTGTTGTTAATGTGCCGTGGAGTTGGTTCCGACTCATAGCGACCCTGTACCGAGTTTCTGAGGCTGTAACTCTTTAGGGGAACAGAAAACCTCATCTTTCTCCTGCAGAACAATGGGTAGTTTTGAACTGCTGACGTTGCAGTTCGCAGCCCAATTCGTAACCACTACACTATCAGAGCTCCTATAAGATTAGAGCCTAGAAACCCCCACGGAGCAGTTCCAGGGCGCTACAAGGAGGGTCACTATGAGTCTTAGAGAAGGTTGCTGTCTGAGTGCGGAGAGGACAGACAGACAGATACAGGCATGGCGCCAAGTACAGGCCCAGTAACAGCAAAGCTGCGGCTGCTCCTGGAAGCTGCCGAGTCAGAGAAGGATGACCCCTCTGTTGAGATCAACTGACGTGAGAAAGTAAAGTGCTCCTGGACACTGCGGGCCCTGAGCTGGGAGAGCACTGCCATCCACGATCCACTGTACTGGGATCCCAGCTCACACCCTGAATCCAGGCTGCTGACCACAACCCCGAGAACCACAATCGCCTCCAGCACCCACATACCAGGCCCTGACTCCGTACCCACACCCACTGCCATAGCCAATTCCAACTCACAGCAACCTGTATAGGGTCTTCCAAGACTAAATCATGATGGAGCGAGTAGGCTCCCCTTTCTCCAGAGCAGCTCGTGTATTTGAACTGCTGACTGCGGTTAGCAGCTGTACTAACAGGCCTGACGTAACAGCAGTCTGGACTGCCCTCTCATCCCTGAGCACTGGGTTGATGTGATGATGTTGCACAGCCTCTGCTAAAATGAGGTGACCATGTCTAACGATGTCAGCCAGTGTAGATGAGTACACAGGTGAGAACCCAGGTTCTGAAGGCCAATGGTGCTGGGGGAGAGTCCAGGTTAGATCCAAAGTCTCACGTTCAGACCCTCGGCTCCCGTTCTTTCACTAGGGCATCCCAATAAACTCCACCTCGGTGCCTGTCCTGGCTCACCCACCACAAGAGCACACTGGGTCTCTCTCAGAACACACACCTGGCGGGGGACACACGTATACACACACATATACACAAGTACCCCACATCCCCCTCCAACCCCTACGTCCTCCGGAGTCAGAGGCAAGGTAGGTGGGTCCCTGGGGGTGGGGCCAGCAATGGAAGTCAAGCTCGGATTGGTGTATCACCCCCCCCTCCTCGTCTCTAGGACGCCCAGGTGCTCTAGGCTTCCAGCACAGTTGTTAGGGCGACTAGGGCGCTAAAAATAAGCTTCAAAGAGCCTCCCTGAGCTTTGCCCGCTGAGTTGTTATGACAACCAGGGTCTGGGTCCCTGCTGAGCTGCTCCCTCCTGCAGCGGGCTTCATTCATTCCACCGCTGGTGAGCCCCCAAGCTTTGGCCTGGCTATAAATGATGGCCCTCAGGCTGCGGAGGCCAGCAGCCAGCCCCAGTGAAGACCTAAAACAAACACCTAAGGCCCGGAAAATCCCCTCCATCAGCAACATGGGGAGGGAGCCGCATCATCTCATGCAGGTGCGTGGGTGCGGAGCACACATAGCTTCAGGTGTCCCTGTCTAAACATAGTAATTTGCTCACCTTGATACTATTAAATGCTACCTGTGGCACTGTGCGGGCAGCCCTGGACTGCTAACTGAAAGGTCTGCTGTTCAAACCCACCAGCTGCTCCTCGGAAACCCTATACAGGCTCTCTAGAAGTTTTACTGGCATTTACAGCAACCAGGTGTGAAAGCCCTTAACAGGACCTCTCCAGACTTTACTCTCTTCAGACTCGAGATCTGAGAGGGCATTCCACTGGTGGCTGGTCACACAGCCTGGTTACCTGCTGCAGCATCCATTATGTCTTCCCCCACCCAATGGACATACTGTCTGGACACCTGTACACGAGTTACCGCTGCTGGCAGTCCCAGGGAGGGTGGCATCAAAGGTTAAGTGCTCAATGATTCACGGACAGGGGGTGCTTTGAACCCAGCCAGAGGCTTCTCAGGAGACAGGTCTGGCTACTGCTTCTGAAAGGTCCCAGCCTTAAACACCCTGTGGAGCGGTTCTATACATATGGGGGCACCACTCAGTGATACTCAACAACACACTGCTTAAAGCTGGATAGTTTTTCCCCCAATTCGGTCACCCTCATCTAAAGCTCTTAGAAGCCAGGACCCCGCCCCCCCCTTCTGGTGATGAAATCCCCTAGTCCTGTCTCCTGCCCCCACAATGAAAATAGGCCCTGGAGTCCACCGGACCTCAATCCCCAGAGTGCACCTGGTGATGATCTTCCCAGCTCCCCTGTGCCCACTGCATCCCCAGGCCTCACCGCCCACTCCGGGAGAGCAAGGTGGACTCACCTTACTCTCCAGCCTCCCGATCAGCTCCGCCAGCCTGCTCACCTGGGCTTCCAGGCCCGCCTCCTTGGCATCTGCCGTGACTGCGGAGGAGGACAGCAAGACTGGGGGGGGGCAAGGCCGGCTTGCAGGGGTCCTGGGCTTTTCCCGGGGGCTGCTGCCTCCCCCAGTCCTCCCAGTTCCCCTCTCACCAGTGGGAAGGCTCTTTACTTGGTCAGTAGCCACAAGCTTGTGGTTGGGGGTATAGGGTGGTGTAGCGTTTCCATACCAAGTCTCTGTAACTCCGTGGCTGGGTTTGCAGTGGGTCTGTCTGCAGAGAGCACAGGGGAAACACAAATCGTGGTTAGGGTGCTAGGCCCCAAATGAAACTTTCAGCACCTTTGACACTGATTCAGTGCAGCCTTCTTGTTCATGGATGCCCCTGTGGAGCCCCACCCCGTGAGGTGGGTGTTACCTGCTTGGTGTTAGAGGAAATGGAGGCCATAAAGCAGTGACTTAGTCAAAGTCACAGAGCTGGGGTTTGAACTCTAACTGCATTCTAACCTGCATGCTGGGGTCCAGCACTCGCCCTAGTATTTCTCCTGCCCCACACCCTGGACCTCAGCACCAAGGAAGAGGTGGGGTGGAACCAGTACCCCAACACTCAGCTCCCCCAACTTGGCAGACAACAAGGTCCACCCCCAGGCATCACAAGGAGGCGAGGCGGGGTCTTTGCACCAAAGGGAGCCCAACTAGACATGGAATGTCCACACCTGACACACACGCACAGCCCCTTGCACGCCCTGACACACTTGGCACCGGTTGCTCACTGTAGATGCCACACACACACAGTGAATGTTCAACAGATGCTGGGTGACTGGCCAATCCCCACGTGCAAAAAGACGAGGCAAGACAGACAGACACACATAACACAAACCCTAACCACCCACACAGGTGCACAGCTAAGGCCCCGCCCGCACTGGGCTCTGTCCTTTGAGCATGGCCGCCTTCTCCAGTCCTGGCCCCTGATGCCCACCCTCCCCAGGTGCTGTGGGTGCACAGCAGGATCCTAGGGTTGGGGGAGGCACACAGAAGCAGTGGGGGAGGGGGGTCAAACAAGCCACAAATTAAACGTGTCCCTCAGACCCGGAGTAAGCGGCCCCTGAGGTCACGGGGTTTAAATCAGCCGAGGCTGTCAATGGTGTCTGGAAAGCATGTTACTGCATGTGCTTAGGCGGTCTCTGAAACCCGCATCATCTCACTGAATCCTCGCGTTACTGTCCCCATTTTACAGAAGGGAAGTTAAGGCACACAGAGATACAACAGCTTGTTCAAGGTCAACCAGCTTCCCAGAACAGAACCATCCCACAGGAAGCTGCAGGCAGGTGTGGGCACGGCCGGCCCCTAAGTGAGCCTCCAAGTGGGGCCTTGCCCACCAACGCACCGGATCTGACTGGTCTGGTCCTCAATGGCCTCCACGGCACTCTCCACAGAGCTCAGCAGCGACTGGATCTGATTGGCCGTCTCCTTCAGGAGGAAGCGGGTCACAAACTGATCCACGTTGCTCCCGCCCTCGTACACCTGCGCAGGAGGGGAGGGGCACAGAGCAGAAAGCAGTTGGGCCCACAAGCCTATGCAGGAGGGGAACCTATGCAGGTGTGGAGTCCAGTACAGATAGGTATGTGTGGGACACAGGACGGGCGTGCTACCTTGCAGGGGGAAGGGAGCCCACTGTCTCTACATCTTGGTGGCTATGGAGTGTCTGAGGTAGAGACTCTGAGTTCAGACACCAGAACTGGGACCCAAGCTCTACTTCTTATTGGCTCTGTGATCTTTCCAAGCAGAGTGGGGTCACGGCAGTCCCTACCTTAAAAGGTTGTAACGAGAGATGTCAAAATAGATATGAAATGTGAATCACAGCATGGTTACCCAGCAAATGCTCAATATGGGAGCTACTGCAATGCCGAAGGAGAAGTACAAGGAGGTGGAGGTGGTGATGGAGGGCAGATACAGGGTGGGGGGTGGTAGTGTGGTGATGCTGAAGATGGTGTTAATGGTGCTAGAGATGATGGTGATGGCGATGGTGGTGGGGTGATGATAGTGGTGATGATGGTGGTACGGTGATTGTGGTGATGGTGGTAATGGAGGTAGAGGTGATGGTGATGATGATGATGATGGTGGTGGTGATGGTGATGTTGATGATGGTGGTGATGATGGTGATGATGATGGTGATGGTGATGATGGTGGTGATGGTGGTGATGATGATGGTGATGTTGATGATGATGGTGGCGATGATGGTGGCGGTGATGGTGGTGATGGTGATGGTGATGGTGGTGATGATGATGATGATGATGGTGATGATGATGATGGTGATGATGATGATGATGGTGATGATGATGATGGTGATGATGATGATGATGGTGATGATGATGATGGTGATGATGATGATGGTGATGATGATGATGGTGGTGATGGTGATGATGGTGGTACGGTGATGGTGGTGATGGTAATGGAGGTAGAGGTGATGATGATGGTGATGATGATGGTGATGGTGATGGTGATGGTGATGATGATGACGGTGATAATGGTGATGATGACGATGGTGGTACGGTGATGGTGGTGATGGTAATGGAGGTAGAGGTGACAGTGGAGTTGGTGATGGTGATGGAGTTGACAGCAGGGATAAAGACAACGACCGAAGAATTCACAACCTCCTCTCCCCCTCCTTCCTCCTTCAAGGAGGATTCTCGGGGCTCCTGGATCTTTATGCTGCTGCTCAGAGAAACAGAAGAAAATTAAAAGCAGCAAAGAGTCTCGGTTGGCTCCCTAAAGGATGGACCTCAGGCTCAGGAATGTAAAAGGAGGGGAGTGTAAGAGGCACCCAGAGGAAGCCTTAGCAGGTGCAGGAGAAGAGGAGTCCTGGGAAAAGATGGATAAAGGGGATTTTCCAAAAGCTTTATTACTCCGTGGTTCAAGACAGAATTTCCTCTCTTTTGTCAAGAGATCCTAACAAAGTCATTCCCCAGGCTGCTGGAGCCCCCTTGGACTGCAGAAAGCTGTAGGGTTCCATGACTGACGACCACCACCATGACCACCACGATGACCATCATGATGACCACCACCAGCAGCATTCTCGCCACCACCACTCGCTCCTCCACCTCTTTGTACTTGTCCTTCATCACAGTAGCTCCCACCATGTATATTTCCTGTAGGACCACACTGTGATTCACATTTACTATCTATTTGGACATTTTTCACCACAACCTTCTAAGGCAGATGCTGCAGTGACCCCGCTCTGCTCGCAGAGGTCACACCACTAAGTCGGGCACGCCTGGTTCTCTCAGGGTCAGGAGCCAGGACGACGAGTCTGGGTTGTGGACCCGAGGTTCTCTCAAATCTCTGCCCTGACTTGCTCTCCTGGTCTCCTCCACCTTAGCCACCTTGGAGTTCTGCCCAGTCCCTAGCAAAGCAAGAGCAAACAGGGCTCTCAAGGAAAGTAAATTAAGCCATCCATCACTCTGACTGGGAATTAATTAGCAATAATTGCACAATGAGAAACAGGGTGGGAGACAGAGAGACGGGGAAATGGAGCAGGGGCGGAGAGCAGGGGAGCCTGAATGAGGGATGGAGAGAGGCCCCAAAGAGATGCCCACAGACTGGGAGGGATGGAGGTGGACATTGATGCCCAGCATTGAGCCAGGGCACGCTGGGGACAGACTATGACCAGAAGGAATTTGCGGCAGAATTCATTTCAGGGTCTGCCATCCCAGGGCACTGGAATTATTGACTATCTGTCCTAAGAGACGATCCAAACACCCACAGTCCAGTGGTCAGCAGGCTCAGACAAATGAACAAGGCCATTCTTGGTAAACATTTTAAAGGTGAAGACCACAGACTGAGCAGAGACGCAGAGTTGGGAATGTGGCAGGGATTCAACGTTAACTGGTTAACTGAACTCTGAGAAAGACAAGTGCTTTTCTAAGGAGGGAAAATTCCACTTGGACTGGTTTCTCCTGGCCACCATTGGTGCCCAGCTCTGCCCGCAGCTCCACAGGCTCCAAAGGGAAACGATGAATTCAATTGTAGGATTTTGCATCCAGTGCACAAAATACTCATATGAAGGACAATAGGGAGATGCTCCCAAAACTGCAGAATCTCTGAAATTTGAGCAGATGAGCACTCTTTTTCTGCAAAGAACAGTTAAAATGGCTCTCCCAAATCACCTGCATTTGAAACAGAGACGCCCTGGAGAAGAGAGTTTTGAAGAGAGCTAATGGTGACCATCACTCAAATGAAACATGATAAGTCACAGGATTCAGGAAAGACAGACATTAAGTACTGCCCAAACCACAATCCTGGCCTCCACTCCATCTGACTCACAAAGACCGACCGGACAGCACAGAAAAGAGCTGCCAGTCTTTACGAGAGCAGACGGACTCTTTCACCTCTCCCTCTGAGTTACTGGTGGGCTCCAATGCTGACCTTCTGATTAGCAGCTCAAGACTTACCCCACGACAGGACCAGAGGAGTCCCTTACACTAACCACTAATAGTCTCATTGTAAGTACACTGGATTCTTGTTGCTATGTGCTGTCTCGTCAGTTCTGACTCACAGTGACCCTGGACAAGGTTTCGGAGGCTGTACAATCTTTGCAGGAGCAGAAACCCTCATCTTTCTCCCAGAGAGCAGCTGGTAGGATCAAATTGCCAACCTGTGGTTTGCATTGCAGTGTTGGTTTAAGTCAGCGAAAAATAATAAAGCATGAAAGCAAAATAGATTTTAAAATCTCTGAAAGTTTTGTAGTCCACAAAAGAGACTTGAAAGCTATATGTCGGGCTGCTAACCACAAGGTCGGCAGTTCAAACCCACCAGTTGCTCCGTGATAAACTGAAAGGGCTGTCTGCATCTGTAAAGGTTTGCGGTCTCGGAAACTCTGAGTAGGGTCGCTGGGTGGGAATCAACTCGATGGGAGTGAGTTAGGTATATATACAGGGCTCGGGCTGCGAACCTTAAGGTCAGCGGTTTGAAACTACCAGCTGCTCCGTGGAAGAAAGACGAGGCTTTCTACTCCCGTAAAGATTTACACCCTCGGAAACCCTGTACAGGGTCGCTGTGGGTCAGAACCGACTCGACGGCACATAACAACAAGAAGAATTTGGACAGGGTATTTTTCAAAAAGCCTCTAGCAAAATAAAACCTGCAAGGTTTTCCTTCCAAAATATCACTGAGGGTCAAAGTATGCAGTACAAACCCATCAGAGGGTAAAACAAACCCATCAGAGATAACAAGCAATGGTTGGGACAGGAAGTGTGGAACTGTGTACGGTTAGCTGTGTGGTTTTCAAGAGCAACAAAAATATGACTACAGACAAGGTCAGACCAGCTAGAATGGTCATGTTGTTCTACGCTGCCTAGTCAGCCTCGGACTCAAGACAGATCTAAGCACATTGGGACTGCACATAGAGTTTTCACTGATTTTCAGAAGTAGAGAGCCAAGCCTTTCTTCCTGGTCTATTGAGTCTGGGAGTTCCAATGAAAACTACTCAGCATCCCAGCAACAAGTAAACCTCGACTGACAGATGGATGAGGCAGCGCATGAAGGTGGTTTGGCCAGGAATTGAACCCTGGAAACATAAAACATAAAAGCAGCCTAGTTTCCCCCCGTGTGAAGACACCATCCTAGCCTTGATTACACAAGACGCCACGAGAGATACATCTACACCAAACCAGCGCAGGAGGAAGTAAAGGGGAGCCGCTGCAGACAACTTTAAACTACGGGGCGGCACAAGGTGCACTATCATCATCCAGTTAGAATTGAAGTCAAAAAATGTCACCCAAACCTTGGCAACCTAAGACAGAGCCATTGCTATGCTGCAATGAGTTTCAATGACGGGTAAGACTGAGGAATTCGCACTGACCCCCTAAGACAGGCAGCGTCCCTTAAATAATAAATAAGGGGAATCTGATGCAGACCATGCAGACCCGGTCAGGAG